TAGTTATACTATATGTTATTCAACTAAAATATAATTTGATTATTATTTGCTTATCTATATAAATTAAAACTATTTTAATTTTTATTGTGATATTAATAGTAATTTATTTATTGCATTTAAATTACTTATATTAATTATTTATTTTGCATTTATTATATTTTTTTTACAGTGGATTGCTGTAGTTCTCGCTGCACGAAGGCTGTTGAATCCACTCAACCGTTGCAACGGCCAAATCCATTTGACCCCCAGAGACGAGTTCAAAAGGAGGTTCCTACTGATGTGGTTATGGAGACTCCAGCTTCAGATGCTGATATATAAGTTGAGTCTCCCAGTGATGAGGATACACCTATCGTTACCCCCCAACAGAGACAGGGACGGGGCAAGCTAAGCCCGTGCAAATGCTTACAAATGGGACGAAGATCCCATTAGAGCTAGATGAGTATGGAGGTTTGCCACAACAAGTCAGACGACAGATTGTAGTTCAGTTGCGGGAGAGTCTCCTAGATGCTTACACATCGTGGGGACAGGTCTGTTGTGAGCATCGGGACATCTATTGGAATATATTAAGTGTGCGCCCTAAACACTTAATGTCTATCTACAAATTAGATATTTTCAATTTCTATCTTTAAATTTTAAGTAATTTGAATTTTTTTTGTTATTATCATTAATGTTTTTGTTATTAAATTATTTATTTATTTATATTTCTATTATTTTTATCAAACATATGAATGGGATTCTACAATTGATAACACTGTAGAGGATATATGGAATGTGACAGCAAGGATCAAGTTCAAGCATGCACTTAGTGAGTTGAAAGCTAAGTGTGCAAAGAGAAACTTTCAAGTTAAGCCTCCAGATATGAATCCAGAGTTATGGGCAAGGCTTGTTTATTTATGGACTAAGGTAATGGAGTAAATTAATGTGTTTATTATTATTTATTTTTAATTTTCAATTACAATGTTTAATGTTTTTGTCATATTATTAAATAAGAAAATATATGTATTTACCACTTTTATAGGACGAGGGTTATTTGAGAAAATTAAGTTCTGCAAAGGCTAATCGAGCAAAAGGACTAAGGGTGACACATACCAACAATTCAATGGACGTTAATGTTTATAGAAAGAAAATAGTACAAAAGTTCACATATTTTTAAGGTTAAATGCTAAATTTGGTCCCTCAACTTTAGTGAGTTGCACATTTTTGGTCCCTCAACAATAAGAAATGCACTCCGTTAGTCCTTCTGTCAATTTAGATCGTAAACTA